CTGCATCGATCGGTTGACTCCAAGCCGAGGTCAAAACTGACTCAACAACCAGCCGATTGGCTCAAACGGAGCCTGATTTGAGCCTCCCGTTTATCCGAAGCAGGGGCCAAAGCAGTGTGTTGGGAACGTTATGTTGCCCCTCAACTACCAGGATCCCCCTTTCCGGCATACGGGATACCACGCACGGCAAACACGTGGGTGGGCGTTCAGATCCCAGGGATGGTAAAGAAAAATTTCTAGACCATCTCTGGGAGGTCCCCTCACCACGGACAGGAACCCACATCGAGGGGGTGTTCACTAGAGAGTGAATTACATCCAACCTCCCATATAAATGCTGAAAACAGGTTTGGACTCGCTAATAAAAGATCAATTGCAGTGAATGTCTTTGTTAAAGCATGGAAGTATGTCACCTCTCCAGTATTAAATAAATATATTTCCTGATTGCCAATAAATCTCTCAATAGCTCTGCCTCGACGATTGATGTCGGGACTGCACCACATAGGACTGTGGCCATTCAAATCACCCAGTAAAAAAAAAATGGAGTTGGCAGCTGTTCAACTAATGAATCCAATTCATCCTCATTGACTCTGACATCTGGTGGCAAGTATATAGAGCAAACTGTGACAGTTACTCCAATAGATATTCTGGCTGTCACAGCTTGCAAATCAGTGGTTATTTGTACCGGCAAGGATGGGATGTGATTGGAAACCAAAATAGCCACACCTCCACTGGCACGGTTGTAGCTATCATCATCCTTGCGGTAAAGATCGAATCCTTTTAAAGAAATATTTTCTCCAAATTTTAGATGGGTTTCCTGGAGTGCCACACAGAGAGATTGAGTAGATGATGTCAAGTGTTTAATGTCAGAGAAGTTGTTGCGAAAACCACGACAGTTCCATTGGGTTATTTTATAACCCATTATGTGTTTGAGGCAACATTCTTTGTGAGAGTATCTCTCTTTAATCTAACAGGGGGTTTTTCTTTTGGAGGTAATGTGGGTCTTGTCACCTCCTGGTTAGTCTCTTCATCAGAGATATCAGAAAACTCACTCATAGAGTGGGCTTCTGATTTTTTACATTTAGAGAGAGCCACTTTCACTCTCTGCTTGTTTAGTGGGTTCTTACTAGCCTTTTTTGAACCCAGGTTTCTTGTTCTAACCCCTATTTTAGGTAGGGGTGTTTTTGATTTCATACTTTCCTTTTCTGGTGTTTCTTTTGATGAAATCAGTAAACATTTTGCATGCCGAGTAAAGGATTCCTTTGGGGAAACGAAAATGTCAGTTTGGACTCCACATGTCTTTGTGGATTTCAAAGCAGCAGCAAATGTCTTTTGTTTTAGTGGTGCACTTGAAGTGACCATACGACGGGCCTCTGGGTAAGGTAAGTTGTTTACTGTTTTTACATGCTAGATTTCTTTTTCTGTCTGCCATGCAGGGCATTTGCGGGAATGGGCGGGATGTGCGTCTTTGCAATTCACACAGCATGGAGTAGTAGTACATTCAGTACTCTGGTGACCTTCAACTCCGCACTGTGCGCATATGTTCTTCCCTTGACAGGATGTTTCAGAATGTCCAAATCGCTGGCATTTAAAGCAACGCAGCGGATTTGAAATGTACGGACGAACTGGACAGCGCAGGTATCCTGCAGTAATGCAAGTTGGTAATATCGGCTTGTTAAATGTGAGGATGAAATGTTTGGTTGGGATCAACTTGCCATCTCGACGAATGGAGATACGTCGAACGGCAGTCACACCTTGGTCTGACAGGCCAATCTGAATGTCTGTCTCTTCTTCAGACATCAGATCAACCTCGGATATCACACCACGAAATGACTTTAAGCTTCCCTGTGGTGTGACAGTCACTTGCATGTCTCCCAGTGTCTTTGTTGTCAGGAGTTTTGTCGACTGTTGAGGAGAAGCTGTTTCTATGAGTAAATCCCCTGATCTCAATTTTTGAATTTTCTTGAGATGTCCAATTGTCGATTCAAATAATTTCTGAATCAGAAAGGGAGAGGATTTAGACAGAGGTTTCTCTCCAGTACTATGAACTACGAGATATGATGGCTTGTTGAAAGAGCTAACGTCCTTTGTTAATGGTTTATCTGTATTTGGTCGGTTTTGTTTTAAAGAATCCATATTCAAAAAAAAATTTTCAGTTCCTATTGACCCCACCCACCACTGGGCCCAACAAGGGGATGCCATCACATGGGAGACTCCCATAGACCGTCACACCAGGGTTTCCCAGGAGCTATACCCTCACAATGCAGTCAAGAAGAGCACATCTTGTCTGACGTGTCTGCCCAATCTGCATCAATCGGTTGACTCCAAGCCGAGGTCAAGAATGACTCAACGACCAGCCAATTGACTCAAACAGAGCCTGATTTGAGCCTGCCGTTTATCCGAAGCAGGGGCCAAAGCAGTGTGTTGGGAACATTATGTTGCCCCTCAACTACCAGAATCCTCCTTTCCGGCATACGAGACACCACGCACGGCAAACACGTGGGTGGGCGTTCAGATCCCAGGGATGGTAAAGAAGACTTTCTAAACCATCTCTGGGAGGTCCCCTCACCACGGACAGGAACCCACATCGAGGGGAATATCATAATTCCAGAAGCTTATATGCTATTCTATTATTCCATGGATTTTCAACAATTTTTTTAGATATTTAATTTTGTAAGCAGACTGATTGTTCTTGAAAGAATCTTGCTATTGAAATGGTGAATACACATGGAGCCAGTTTTTACTTATACTTATGGTACCATATATATATATATATATATATATGATACTTATGGTTACCAGTTTCAAAAGAAGATAAAAAACTGTAGTGAACATTTTAAGGATCCTTGGGGCAACCCTACAAAGATGCCTTTAAGAAATACACTAGGGCCACTATACCAACCATAGCTAAGGACAACACTACTAGTACCAGATACGACATTAAAGACATCATCAAGAACCTTTTAGAATTCCACTTTCCAAACGATAATACAAAAGAAGATGACGACTCCCATCAACAAATTTGCACAAAAATCACTACAACTTACTCAAGCTTCCAGGATAGCTGGTTCACCTTTTCAGAGGATGAAAAAGTGATTACTATTCTGGCCTGTAAAAAGGCACCAGGGATTGACGGCATCAAGGCAGAGATGGTCAAACATGTCTTTAAAGAAATCCCCATATCCCTAGTAATTCTGTATAATAGCTGCCTCCAACTAGAGCATTTTCCAGAGCAATAGAAAGTGGCCAACATTGTCTTCATTCCGAAAAAAGACAACCCATCCTCTGTCCAAGACTACCGCCCCATTAGCCTCTTCCAGTACTTGGCAAAGTACTGGATGGCCTCATGATTAACCGAATCACCTGGCACCTAACCAGTCACAACTTACAGAATAATCACCAATACGGTTTCCGGCCTAAAAGATCTACAACAACTGCTATTTACAAAATTACCCAATTTATAGAGGAAGCTTGGGAGAGAGACCAACATGCCCTATTAGTCAGTATTGACTCCAGCGGTTAAAAATAATCTGAGGAACTCTGGTTGACCTGGTAACGTATACAAACTTTTAAACAGCTAATTAATGGATAATAAAGCAGGTTTCTTTTCGGGGGCATGAATATTGTCAAAAATGTTAATAGAAGTTGCCCCCAAAGCTCCTGGAGTGGTCCAGGGCTCTGGAACCTCACCTACGATAGTCTCCTTTTCTCAATTCATAACACGAATAAAGTGCAGATCCAGGGCTTTGCAGATGACACTTTATTGCTGCTTGGTTGTTGGAGCTTGTTGGTGGAATAGAGATCTGTTGGTGGAATAGAGATCTGGCTAAGTTGAGACAACAAATACGGGCAAAATTAAAGAAATTTCAAAGATGCTCGGACTCTACTCAAAAAATTGAACTTAGAGAAATATACAGACAATCTCTTAATAATTATAAAACACAAATTAACAAAGCACGTACTGAGGCTTGGAAGGTATATTGTACAAGAATGAAAGAGCTATCAGTGTGGTCAGATCCTTACTACATTATATGCAAACCTAGGAAAAATATCAGTATTCCAATTAACCTTAATAAAGAAGACGGAAGCTACACTAAAACATACCAAGAGACAATGGAACACCTAATGGACGTTCATTTTCCGCCAGATGATGTCTCAAAAGACAATAACCAACAAAAACATATCCGAAGTAAAATAAAAGACATCTTAGACAACGAGGATGATTGTTACTTCACTTACAAAGAAGTTAACAAAGCAGTTAAATCAATTAAAAACCGTAAGACGCCAGGCTTAGATGGTATAACACCATTAATGCTCAAAAATGCATTTAAAGCTATTCCAACAGCCTTGGTATACATTTATAATAGGTGCTTACAAGAAGGGATTTTCCCCGAAAAATGGAAACAAGCCAAAGTTAAATTTATACCTAAAGGAGACAATGAAAATATTACTAGAGCAAATAAATTTAGACCAATAAGTCTTCTTTCTGTTCCTGGTAAGGTTTTGGATGGTCTTATCAAAAACAGGATAAACTTTTTCCTCAATAACAAAAAAGTATTAAATAATCAGCAATATGGTTTCGTTAGAGGTAAATCTACATATCATGCCATACACAAGGTGATGAATTATATAAACGAATCTTGGAGAATAGGAGAACATGTTTTACTCATAGCTATTGACTTTAAAAATGCATTTAATACGTTGTGGTGGCCTAAGTTGATTTAACAACATATCCTTGTTAAATCAACTTAGATGCTTCGATTGTCCTAGAAATCTTTACAATATTCTACTTAATTATCTCGATAATAAAACTGCGGGGATCTATGAATTTGGTAGTAGTATTGTCCGTACCTTATCCAGGGGTTGCCCCCAAGGGTCCCGTTCAGGGCCGGGCCTCTGGAATATCGTTTATGATAGCTTACTACAACTTAATGAAGAAGATACTATGTTAAGTTCATATAAGATCCAGGGATATGCCGATGACACCTTGATGATGATGTCAAATAACAACAACGAGACATTACAGAGAGATGCAAATAAAATTTTACAAAAGATTTATGACTGGTCTACCAATAATTATTTACAAATTAATTTTAACAAATGTGAGTGCATGGTACTTTCTAAAGGAAGTCAACTTAAAAAACCACTGAGGATACTAATGAATATGAACAAAATTAAAAATACTAATAACTTGAAATATCTAGGAATCACCCTAGATCAAAACATGAAGTGGGCAACTCACATTACTAATGTTACCAATAAGGCAGTCAAAATATCTAATGCATTACAATGTATCTGTAATAGAAAATGGGGGCTTAAAGAGAAATCAATCAAAATTATATATAAAGCGTGTATTGAAACAATTATACTCTATGGTGCTCCGTTCTGGGCTGAGATGGTAGACAATACCCGTACTAAGAAAAAGTTAAACAAAGCCCAAAGATTAATGTTACTAAGGTTATGCAGGGCATATAGAACGGCCCCGACAGCTGCCCTACAAGTCTTGTCTGGTGTACTGCCTCTACATATAAGGGCAAAAGAAGAAATGTGGAAGTGGCACCTTAAAAATAGAGGAATTATAGACAATCAGAATAGTGAAATATATAAATATATTCAAATTGGGTTATTTCCTAATCTTAATGAATACCTTCTTAATACTTTGAAATCAAATTTGAAGGAGGAAATGATAACTAATGAATTACATCCAAGCTTAACAGAAGATATTAAGGTAACGGACTATAATGATGATCCTATATCACAACTCAAGATTTTTACTGATGAATCCAAAAATAACAGTAAGGTGGGATCTGCTTTTGTGGTCAAAGATTCCAAAGATAATATCTCTTATAAAGCTTACTTTAAGCTTGCTGACGTCTGTACAATAACACAAGCAGAGTTGTTTGCAATTTTTGTTTGTTCAGTGGGTTCTTATTAGCCTTTTTAGAACCCACATTTCTGGTTGTTACCCCTGTTTTAGTTACAGGGGTTTTCGTCTTTGTGTTTGACGTTTCTTCTGCTTGTGTAGGTAGGATCAATAAACATCTTGCATGGCGAGTAAGAGATTCACTTGGTGACACAGAAATATCTGTTTGAACTCCACATATTTTTGTGGATTTCAAAACATGAGCAAATGTTTTTTGTTTTATTGTTGTAGTTTGAGTGACCATGCGACGGGCTTCTGGGTATGGTATATTGTTTGTAATTTTTACCCGTTGAATCTCCTTTTCTCTCTGCCATGCAGGGCATTTCCTTGAGTATGCAGGATGGGCATCTTTACAATTCACACAGCATGGATTATTGGGTGCACTCGGTACTCTCGTGACCTTCTGTTCCACACTGTGCGCATGTGCTTTTCCCACGGCAGGATGTTTGTGAATGTCCAAATCGCTGGCATTTGAAGCAACGCAGCAGATTTGGAACATACGGACGAAGTGGGCAGCGCAGATAACTGGCTGTGATAGCAGATGGCAAAGTTGGTTTGTTAAAAGTTAAAATTAAGTGTTTAGTAGGAATTAACATGCCATCTCGACGAATAGAGCTACGTCGAACAGCAGTAACACCTTGATCTAAAAGACCAATCTGGATATCTGATTCATCCTCAGACATAAGGTCAATTTCAAATATCACACCACGTGAAAAGTTCAAACTTGTATGTGATGTGATGGTGACTTGTATGTCTCCTAGAAACTTCATTTTCAAGAGTTTTTCTGACTGTTGAGGGGAGGCTGTTTCCACAAGTAAATCTCCTGACCTCAATTTTTGAATTTTTTTTAAATGTCCTATGGTAGATTCAAAAAGTTTCTGGATTAAGAAAGGAGAGCGTTTAGACATAGGTGTTTCTCCTGTAGCATGAACGATAAGGTAAGTTGGTTGATTGAAGGAATTGACCTCCTTTGGTGGCAGTGCATTGGTAAGTGTTTTAGATTTTAAAGAATCCATATTTAGAGATAAACATTCAGCTCCTAGTGACCCCACCCACCATGGGGCCCAACAATAGGATGCCGTCACATGGGAGACTCTCATAGACCGTCACATCAGAATTTCCCAGGAGCTATACCCTCACAATGCAGTCAAGAAGAGAACATCTAGACTGACGTGTCCGCCCGGTCTGCATCGATCGGTTGACTCCAAGCCGAGGTCACAAATAACTCAACGACCAGCCGATTGACTCAAACAAAGCCTGATTTGAGCCTCCCGTTTATCTGAAGCAGGAACCAAAGCAGTGTGTTGGGGACGTTGTGTTGCCCCTCAACTACCAGGATCCCCCTTTCCAGCATACAGGACACCACGCACGGCAAACACGTGGGTGGGCGTTCAGATCCCAGGGATGGTAAAGAAAAATTCCTAAACCATCTCTGGGAGGTCCCCTCACCACGGACAGGAACCCACATCGAGAAGAAAACAGATTCGGAGTTGCTAATGAGAGATCAATGGCAGTGAATGTTCTTGTTGAAACACGGAAGTATGTCACTTCTCCAGTATTAAATACATACATTTGCTGATTACCTATGAGTCGTTCAATGGCTCTGCCTCAACGATCACTGTCGGGACTACCCCACATAGGATTGTGGCCATTGAAATCACCAAGTAAAAGGTATAGTGTTGGCAGCTGTTCAACCAAGGCATCCAGTTCATCTTCGTTGACTCTGACATCTGGTGGCAAGTATATAGTACAAACTGTGACAGTTACCCCAACAGAAATTCTGACTGCCACAGCTTGCAGGTCTGTTGTTATTTGTACCGGCAAAGATGGAATGTGATTGGAAACCAGAATAGCCACACTGCCATTGACACAGTTGTAGCTATCATCATCCTTGCGGTAAAGTCCAAATCCTTTTAAAGTAACTCCCTCTCCAAGTCTCAGATGTGTCTCCTGGAGTGCCATGCAGAGAGATGAGGTAGATGATGTCAAGTGTTTAATGTCAGAGAAGTTGTTGCAGAAACCACGACAGTTCCATTGGATTATTTTATAATCCATTATGTGTTTGAGGCAGCATTCTTAGAAAAAATGTCCCTCTTCAGTTTAACTGATGATTTTCCTTTTAGAGGAGACGTTGGTTGGGTCACCTCCATATTAGTGTCTTCATCAGAGATATCAGAGAACTCACTCATAAACTGAGTCTCTGATTTTTTAGATTTAGAAAGAGCTGCTTTCACTCTCTGTTTGTTTAGTGGGTTCTTACTAGCCTTTTTAGAACACAGGTTTCTTGTAATTACCCCTGTTTTAGGCAATGGTGTTTTTCCTTTTGTGATCTCCTTTTCTGGTGTTTGCGTAGACGGGAGTATTAAACATTTCGCATGGCGAGTAAGAGATTCGCTTGGGGAGACAGAGATATCGGTTTGAACCCCACATGTCTTTGTGGATTTCAACACAGAAGCAAAAGTTTTTTGTTTCACTGCTGTGCTTTGAGTGACCATGCACCGAGCCTCTGGATACTGTATGTTGTTAATGGTTTTTACTCGCTGGATCTCTTTCTCTCTCTGCCATGCTAGGCATTTTCAAAAGTAGGCAATATGGGCATCTTTACAATTCACACAGCATGAAGTAGTGGTACACTCGGTACTGTCACGACCTTCAGTTCCACACTGTGCGCATATGCTTTTCCCTCGGCACGATGTTTGTGAATGTCCAAATCGCTGACATTTAAAGCAACGCAGCGGATTTGGAACATATGAGCAAACTGGGCAGTGCAGATAACCTGCTGTAATAACAGATGGCAAAGTCGGTTTATTAAATGTCAAAATAACATGTTTGGTGAGAATCAACTTGCCATCTCGACAAATGGAAATGCATCGAACAGCAGTGACTCCTTGGTCTGAAAGGCCAATCTGAATATCTGATTCATCTTCAGATATCAGATCAATCTCAGATATTACCCCACGCAATGAGTTTAGGCTCGCATGTGGAGTGACAGTGACTTCCATTTTTCCTAGGGTCTTTGTGTCCAGAAGTTTTGCCGATTATTGTGGGGAAGCTGTTTCCACCAGTAAATCTCCTGATCTTAATTTTTGTATTTTTTTCAACTGTCCAATGGTCAATTCAAACAATTTTTCAATCAAGAAAGGAAAAGCTTTAGCCAAGAGTTTTTCTCCGGTTGCGTGCACTACTAAGTACGCTGGATTAGTGGAGATTTTTCCGTTTGTTTTTGTTGGTGGTGCACAAGAACGTTTTGAATTTTTTGAATCCATAATTAAAGAAAAAATATTCAGCTCCTAGTGACCCCACCCACAATGGGATGCCATCACATGGAGTACTTCCATAGACCGTCACACCAGGGTTTCCCAGGAGCAATACCTTCACAATGCAGTTGAGAAAAGCACATCTTGTCTGACGTGTCTGCCCGATCTGCATCGATCAGTTGACTCCAGGCCAAAGTCAAGAATGACTCAACGACCAGCCGATTGACTCAAACTGAGCCTGATTTGAGCCTCCCGTTTATCCGACGTAGGGGCCAAAGCAGTGTGTTGGGGACGTTATGTTGCCCCTCGACTACCAGGATCCCCCTTTCCAACATACAGGACACCACGCACGGCAAACCCGTGGGTGGGTGTTCAGATCCCAGGGATGGTAAAAAAGAGTTACTAAACCATCTCTGGGAGGTCCCCTCACCACAGACAGGAACCCACATCGAGCAAATATTGGACAAGAAAGCATCATACGCTTTGTATTGGATTCAGGAGCAACATACACCTAGTTCAAAAGGATACTGCCACTTATATAATATAGAAAGTCTAACCAAAGCAATAAGCGTAAATATAACAAATGGAAAGAACTTCTACAACAAAAAAGAGCAAGATAAAACTGTCTTATAATTATAATAATAAAAATATTGTACTAACCAATCGCATTGTACCAAAGATTTTCCATAACTTTTTATCTGTAAGAAAACTCAAAGACACTGGAAAAAGAGTTAGGTTTGAAAAAAAAAGCTGTTTTCTTGCACAGAGATTTTCATATGGATTGTCCAATTACAGAATGATTGTTTATTGCAGAGTTTTCCATAAGAAATAATATACAATGCTCAAAACAGAAGCAAATGACTTATGGCATAAAAGACTAAGCTGTGACAATGTAAACTACTGTGATCTGAAATTAATGAATTTGCCATGTCCAAACCAACCCTGTGGACCATGCATGAACAGCAAAGCTACTACATCATCATTTATAAGGACTGAACACAGATCAAACAGATTAAAAGAACAGCGTACATGATAACATGAACAAACCAGGATATTTTCAATTAAAAATTGAATATGACTACTATAATATGGCTGTTATGCAAATGAACTTTATGTTTACCCAAAATCGCCACCAAAGGGCCTGAACCAGATATATATTGTGCTGAAGAACATGGTAATTATGGTCAAAAATTGTAACCATTGTTTTTAATGTTTAAGGATACCGAATTCTCTAATAAAAGGTCGGCATTTCGATCATTTTTAACTTTGTGTGTTTTTTGTTATAATTTATCACATGTTCTGTGCAAGTTCATCCAGGCCAATATACTGTTACTTCTGTGGTGTGTTAAAAGGATGAAAAATAGACTCGAAAAATTTAAAAAATTTTTTGTAAATAGTCATATTCAATTTTTAATAGATTAGGAGAACTCAGACCACAGATTATTGCACACAGACATATGTAAACCCATAAATCCAAATACTATAAATGGTGAAAAATATTTCCAAACAATAACAGATGATTTCTCACATTTCACTGTAATATATCTCAAAAAACAAAGGAGAAACAGCACTCAATATGATGAACTACGTCAGAAAAATACATGCTCAATTTGAAAAAAGAGTAAGTCGTATTAGATGGGACAATGGATATGAATTTTCCTCAAGGATGTTCAAAGACTTCTGTAAAAACAAAAGAATTAGAATAGAATACACAACAGCATACCCACCACAGCAAAGAGGGTTGGCAGAAAGAATGAATAGGAAACTCTTGGATAAAGCAAGAACTATGTTTGGAGACAACGACTTACCTAAACACCTGTAGGGAGAGGCAATTCGCACAGCAGCCTATCACATAAATTGATCACCTACAGCAGCACTCAATAAAAATATTCCTTCAAGATTATGGTATGAATAGGTTGATTTATCAAAACTAAAAGTATTCAGTTGTCAAGCCTAATTATATGACAATCCACAATCTACAATGTTAAAATCACGTGCCAAGGAAGTCAGAATAGTGGGATGCAGTGGGTCAGAATACAGACTCTGGCTACAAAAGAAAACGTGATCCTAATATGTAGAGATGTAAAATTCAATGAAACTCCTATGCTAATATACTACAAAACTCAAAGTGATAATGCAAGGGACAAAAAAGAGGACAACAAAACTAATAGTGATCATGAAAAAACATATCAAAGTGAAACACAAAAATAAAAAGAAATAAGGAAAAGAACTATAAAATTACCACAGAAATATAATGATTACGAAATGCATATTGCATACTGTGTTTATATTCTGAAAATCTAGAAATCTATGAAGAGGCAGATGTGTCAAGAAAAGAATTCAAAGGTGCCATAGAAAAGAAACTAGAAGCTCATCTAAAATTTTGCACCTGGACTAAAACAACACTTGCAAAAGTTAAAAATCCAATAGAAACTAAGTCGGTGTTTTGAACAAACTCAGATGAAACAAAAAAAAATGTCTCATTGCAAAAGGATATCAATATCAGAAAGAATTTAACAATTCATATGCACCAGTAGTGAGAATATTAACAGTTAGATTACTCCTATCAAAAACAATTAATGAAAACTGAAAGATAACCCAACTTGATGTGCCAACTGCATTCTTAAATAAATAACAGAAAGTTGATGTATACATTAAACCTCCACAAGGTCTAATAACAAACAGTGAAACTTTAAAATTAAAAAGTGCATTATATGAATTGAGAAAAGCACCTCAATGTTGGAATAAGTGTTTTAATA